TAGTTCTTACCATTACGCTTTTTTTTTACCAATATACATACTTTGATACGCAATGTAATTCGCAGTAGTTAGCCAATTCATGGCTTGTATAGTTCATGAACTATGAACTATTAGGAATATATTCCCTACACTGACCGACATGAACTAGTCCGTCCTGCACGGTATTAATAGTTGACCGATCTTTTTAGTTTGGAACTGTGAACCAGTCTATGTTGATAGTTAATCACCATCGTCATACACAGCCTGACTGCACCCACTGCTGGGTATAGCACTGGATGAGATAATCGTTGATAGTTCGCTTTTTTTTATTTGGTAAGAGTGGTGCGAGCGGGAAAATTAGTCCGGCCCATGTTCCTCATTAATTTAAAATATATTTTTCACAAAATAGTATGTTTGTTAAAATGCTGATTATCAAGTATATGTTTCAACATGATATTTAAGTATGGAGTAACCACAAAGTTAACAAACGAATACCAAGCCCTGAAACATTGGCGATTTGTCTACCAAATACGACAGCAAGCGCTTTCTGAGCTAGCTTAGTGCATCTAATTGAAGTTGCGCATTTTAAATAACTATAAATATTCATATTCTATATCTTTGGGGGAGGCCTGTGTTCAGCAGTGGACGTTTTCCGGCTGATGATTCATGCGCGCATGTATCTAAACAGCACAAGCAAACTAATTGTTTCTAAAATATAAATATATTTCGAGTTTTCAACGTAAGGAAAACGAAAAGAACAACGGCGTATTGTTGCTCATAAGCAAGTATGCTCATGCTATTTTTTTTTGTTTGGTCCTCATTCCCATTGAAAATATCATTAAGTTCTGCTCAGATTCTTTGAATTGATGACTGAAACAGATTGTTACAGGGATGGCAAATAAATAAGACACGACTGACTTTTAGCGTAATTATCCACCGAGCTATAATGCTCTGGCCACACAGAGGCGGCCGCGGAAGCGTTCCGGGCGCGGGATTTTTTGTAATGTACCAGTTCTTATGAACCCTGCCACACTGAAAGGCGCGGCGGCCGCGGGGCGAGGCGGCGCGGTGCGGGGCCGCACGCCATGACAAACAGGCAGAGCGGGCGCGGGACGCGGCCGCGGCCTCCGCGGGGCGGGTGCGGTCGCGGGTGTTGTAATACATTGAGTTCTATGCAACCGTTCACACAGCGCGTCAGTGGCGGGGCGCGATCCGGGAGCGGGGCTTCAGCGGGCTTGGACGTTGTATTTTTTTACAACTAGGGAATGTGTTTTAATTGATTTTAATCAAGTTTCAAGATGAATTCGACGGAAAAACTTATATCATTGGTGCAATCATACCCCAGTTTATTTAATACAAGTGATAGAAATTATAAAAACATAGAAATTATTTGGGAAACAATTCCGAGGAGCTAAATCAAGATCGTGAGTATATTTTTAATTATTATTAAAATAATTGCCAAATTTTTCTCTGATTTCAATTGCATAATCAGACGATCTTTGATTTGTACGAATTGGAAGTAGTTCATTGGCCTCAACTGGTTGAGAATCGCTCTGTTGAACCGCATTGTTACCGTTCTTACTTTAATGAAATTGTGTAAACAACACGTGACTTTGACAACTTCTATTGTCGTTTCAATATCATATTGCATGAAACGTCTATAGACTTGCCATTTCTGTGTTAGCTGGCCGAATACGTTGTGGAAAACGTCTCCCTCCATCAATAACAATCAACTGTGAGATACCTCTTCTCTTCTCTAAGAAAAAAACATGACGCCGTAGATTATCTGTTCATTAGTTATGCAGAAACATTTAAAAAACTGAAACCCACAATTCAAATTGAAACTTGCACACATTTTTACAGAAGCTGAACTGAACGACCTAGAAGAAAATCAAATTTCAGTAGCACCGGTACAATCTCCTTAATTTACCGTAATTAGCACAACAAGTAATAACGATCAAGAAAGTATCCCAGTTTCATTGCAACTAATTCCTGAAGACTTGTGTTTCCCATTATGGTACCTGTAATATAGTTGATGACTAAACTACACAGGGTAATTCCAAAAGGTATGGTACTGAATTAATGCTGTGATAATGATAACATAAAAAATGTAATAAGAAATGATGAATGCTAATTTAATAAATAAAAAGTTAAATAAATAAACAGTTAAGTTTAATAAGTAGCAACCAAGGAGTTTTATAATTTTTATTAGAGTATTGAATGGTCTACAAAACACTTTTTGTTTGAATAAGTTTGCATTGTTAGTTCTGAGATGTTGATTTTTATGTTAGTGACTCGGATTCATTGCTCCCGAGTGTATAAGTAGGTATATAAGTTAAGTATAATTGCAATTATGCATTGTTCATAATAATTTAAGTAGGTACATAAAATTAAATAGAATTGTTGTTGATTCTACAAATCTAAGATGCCTGTTATTTGTTAAAATAAAAAATCATGGGCCGTAGGAAGCCAGCATTAGACTGATAGTAAAAGAAGTTTGAATTAATTGTGTTAAGATTGTTGATTGTTCATAATAATGTAACTTTCGATAGGGACCTATTAATTATTTGTTAAAATAAAAATGCCCAGCGAGTTTGTTAGAAATAGAAGTTTTAAGTTAACTGTTAAAATTGCTCAAAATAATATAAGTAGGTACATAAGTTAAATACAATTGTTGTTACATAAATCTTAGATAGATACATATTATTAGTTAAAATAAAAACGCCCAGTGAGACTGCTACAAAAAGAAGTTTCAAGTTAATTTCAATTGCAATTCAAAATAATCAGATGACAAATAATTTGTCAAAATAAAAATGCTCAGTGAGACAGATAGAAAAAGAAATTTCAAGTTAACTATGTTAAGATTGTTCAAAATAATGCACTTATGTAGATACATAACTTAAACAAAATAGTTGGTGTTATACAAATCTTAGATAGGTTACTTATTATTTATTAAAATAAAAATGCCCATTTGGACTGATAGAAAAAGAAGTTTCAAGTTAATTACGTATATAGATTGTTAATAATAAAGTAAGTAGGTACAGTAGTTAAATGCAATTATTATTGTTGATTCTACAAATCTTATATACCTATTATTTGTCATAATGAAAATGCCCAGTGAGTCACTGAAAAAATAGTTTCAAGTTAATTGTGTTAAGATTATAGAATTTTTTAAATGTTTTTAAATAAACAATTTCTGTTCATATGAATAGTTTGATTCAAAACCTTCAAAGTAAGTATACAGAGTGTCCCAAAACTCAACGATAACCTGGGAACAGAATGTTGCCTAGTTTGTAACTACCCAGAAAAAAATATTTAAAAAATCGGGGTCATTTTCTTTTTGTAATATAAGCATTTTAATGAAAAATGTTGAAAATGTACGCCCTGTACCCCATTTTTAAGTACTACAATTACAAATTTGCTAATTTTGCTGTTCTAGTTTTTGTAACGGTAACCGGAAACAGCCCAGCTAATGAGCACAATGCCAAAGAAAGCCCGAATTACTCTAGTACACTCTAGTTTCAGCACTAAAAAAATATGTATTTAATTTTTTCTTGAAATTTTTAGCAGATTTTTTTTCAAGGTAACTTTAACACCCCATACAAAAGTTTAAAGATGTTCTTCTACATCACTATCCGATAGTGACATGGACCTTTCTTTATTTGTGTTGAAAATGAAATGTGGCGTGACGCTTTTGGTGTCACACCGGCCGCCTTCGTGCCGCTGTCCCGTCACGAACTACACTCGGGATTGCTGTGTGGCATGCCCCGGCACGCATTCGCTTCCCGCAGGTCCGCCCCCGAAACGCTTTTCCCGCTATACCGCGTCTGTGTGGCCTGACCTTAAATGTGAGGATTTTCACTACCCACCAGCAGCTTTACATTGATTATTTACATCTGGCCAGCCTATAATTGTGGTTGTACTTTTACAACCGTCTGAAATCAATGGCAAAAAACACATATGATCAGATTAAAAAGTTAATATATAATAAGCTTTTATTGTAAGTGTAGTTTAGCTTTTTATCCAATCGTGGACATTTTCATACCAACATATACCTCTGTTTATTTAAGAAACTATTTCGTGCGTTACGTAGTTGATTGTTCATATTTTAGTGTCCATGATTGGAAACCATCCACCACTAATATCAAAAATTTAAATTCGGCTGTTCGCATAAGCAAATAATATTTTGTTATAATTATTAATGCAAAGATCGAACACTTAGAAATAATTCCTTCGATCCGGTCGGATTCGAACCGACGTCTTCTTGCATATCGTGCCAGACGCTATACCAACTAAGCCACGGAACGAACCAGCGGACCTCACGAATTTTTCCATGTGCTTGCGTTGTGTTTGTATTTGGTTTTTCAACGACTTTTTAGTCGTAGCGCCATCTATGAGAAATCTATGAAAGATTTATCACCCAGTTAGTACCTTTACAGCTACCAGTCCTGGCGAGAGATGTCGCTATTCACTGTATTAATTAAATTTTTATTGAATTGATATTCAATTATTTTTTGTGAAATTACTCCACTAGTTTCTTTGACAGTGTAACTTATCCGAATCATAATAGTAATTAGCGAAAGATCCTTACAGCGTGAAATATCCACATTTTTAATCTCAACGAATATTTGCGTATTTTCCATGTATTAGACCTTAAAAAAGAAAAAATCGTAATCTTTGTTTCGTTCATTATTTGATGTCACTGAATACTTACTCCGTTCGATGCATGTCAGGCAAGTATATCATGAGTTATCCTTACTACTCAAACAAGTTCCATTTAATATTAATCAAGGAATTGTTTCGATAACACCATAATTGCAAAAATTGTAGTAATGTAATAAGGTGGTAATTGCACTGGTGCGTTGTAGTTTTAATTGATGTCACTAATTTTTCTATTCATGATGACCTAATTAGTGAATTATATGTTCTTATTAATTAATTTGTATTTAAATACATTAATGCTGGTGTATTTAGACATTAGGTGAAGTGAATAACAATTATTCGGGTACAGAATAACATCACTAATATAACACGGACACCACGGAATACGACATCTTGATAATCTGAAACAATATTGTCTATTACGGACTTTGCTTTTTATATCAACAATTATATGAGCAGTTTAAAAAAATATAGTTCCCAACCGATATGTAGGATTCGTAAGACATCTCAATTATTCCAAGACAATGAAGTTGCACAGCCTTCTGTAAAAGAGTAATATTTTTAGATTGCAGTTTTTTCGTTGTACCCATTGATTTACAAATAAATGGACTACGGGTCTAATACAAAAACCACGAAAAAAATGTCCCATGTCAACCTATTTAAACGTAGTGACATGTAAAGGAATATGAAAAAGAGTTGAATTTAAATTGTAATGTCACCGCAGTACTGTCTAATTTTGCTTGCTTCGCTGTCAGTCGAACAAACGAAGACTGAAGCGTGAATGACGCTCTGTATACGATTTTAACGTCGTATAAGTTCGGACACTTTTTAGCGCGGACCCGACGTCCATATAATTGTAAGTCAATGATTGTACCCTAAGGCAGCTTACATCTATAACGGTAACCTGTGGAGAAATGTAATACTATATACTGAACTAATATTATTAGTAATGAACAAATCTTATTCCATAATATTGTTTTAGTTGAAGTAATAAAACTTTTAAATTCGTATTCATGTCTTTTAAAAAGAATTGTTAATTGTATTAATAATCTCAGTACAGAGTACTAAAAAAACCGACCTCAAAAGTACGTGGAATTACGTCTATTTGTTAAGTTTTATTGAAATATCCCCTAGTTCGCCACTATACAGGACTTGACGCTGGAGATAATAAAAATAGGTTCTCACTACGACGCTACTCAAAGTATATTGAGAGAAAAACGCCTTGAACGGAAGAAATAGCAAAATCAACCATTAAAGTAATTGCTCCTAAATTAAAGTTAGGCGCTATTTATAAAAGTAAATCTTCATGCGTGAACAGCCACCCTTCGAGGTGGATGATTTCTTTAAAATAAAATGGGACCACTATGGAAGTGCCCCCTTTCCAACAAAAAAAGAATCATGAAAATCAGTTCACAAATACCGGAGTTATCGCGTAACATATATACAAAAAGAAAAAGACAAAAAAAACGATCATGCAGTCGAATTGAGAACCTCTTCCTTTTGTGAAGTCGGTTAAAAATGTATTTTCTACTCTTGTAATTTAATCTGTCAATTATAATTTCATATACCAGATCTTAAAATCGTTCTTTTTAGTTCTGAATCAAAATTCTATTGTCTCCGGTACTCGCCACTGAGCTGAAAAATTTCATTAACGTTTACACAGAACTATAATGAGTTTCAAAAAAAAAAACGTCGTAATGCTGATAATTACAATATCAATTACGATGTTACCTTCGACGTTACTCAAACGCTGCCTCCTGATTGGTTAAATTGGCCCAAAAGTTTTTTTTATTCTAATGTAAGTGTGCATAAATCTTGCAACTGGGCCATAAAATCTTCATAAAAAAATATTGATTGAAATATATGCGGCACTTGGCCAGTTCTATTCTATCTCTAATTAAATCTCTATATATTTTATTATCTAGGTCTTCTGTATATATTTAGATTTTTGATGTCTATATTTGAGGCTACCAGCGCGAAAATGGTATACCAAATGAAATGCTTATAATGAGAGGTTTAAAATTTACCAAATTAATTATATTTATAGAAACCACAAATGAACAATCTACACTTCCGGACACATATTTTAAGCCACCTTGCATTTTTAATATTAAATGCCTTAAGCTTAAAAAATATGTTTGATTGATCAAAAACTTTAATGCAATTTTGAAGCCGGTTTACTAAACGTCATTTCGGTATGTCCTTGTTGAAAATTTGATTTTGTGAAACCAGGGAAAAACGAGTTTAAGTGTCACAAGTCTTGAATTCACCTTTGTGAAATGAAATTCTAGTAAAGAAATTTTAAGGAAAACAGTGGCTTATCGGAAAAAATGTCTATTATATAGTAACTTGTATTGCCTCCAAGAGCGTTGACAACGGCCGCCATGCGATTTGGCATAGAATTAATTAACGTCAATATGAAGTGCTGTGGAATGTTCTCCCATTCTTCCTCAATGGCAACTTTCCACTCCGGTAAGGTTTGCGGGGCTGGGTGGTGAGCTCGAACACGCCTCTTTAGCTCGTCCCCTAAATGTTCTATTGGGTTGATATCCGGGCTTCGTGCTGGCCATTGCGTGGTAGTAATACCGACGTCATGAAGGTATTCCGTGACGACTCTTGCAGTATGCGCTCTTGCGTTGATGACAACGCAAGAGCGCAAGAGCGCCGAGATTTTATTTTCGCGCATGAGCATGAGAATAAAATCTCGGCCTACAAAGCCAGCATATGGCATTACATGAATTTCGAGGCACTGGCGAATGTATCTGTCGGCATTTAATGGTGGCAGCCGCGGCCTGTCATCTCTAGCGCAGTTTTGCCTTCGGTGGACATTCCTCCCCGGACTGTCCATGAACCCCCGCCACAGCTCACTTTCTCTTCAATGCAACACTGCACAAAACGCTCTCCTTGTCTTCGGTAGACCTTGTTCCTTCCATCATTACCATAGACCATAATCTTAGTTTCATCAGTGAAGAGTACCTGGCTCCACTGACGTGGAGTCCAATGCAAATGTTCTCGTGCAAATTGGCGCCATTCGATGAACTCGTGACAATTTGGGCCCATTCGCTGGCTTATAAGTCTCCTTCTCACAGTTCTGGCGCTAACAGCCACTCCATGAAAGTCTCGAAGCTGTTCTTGGATCTGAAGTCAGTTGACGATTTCGTGAGCTCGTCGTGAAGATAAATCGATCTTGCCTTTCCGTTGTCACTCGAAATCGTGGTCTTCCTTGACGGCGAACATACCCCCCAGTCTCTAAGTACCGATGGTTATAACCTTTCAACAGCGGAACGACTGAAATGCAGTTGTGTACTTACATTACGCTGACTAAGTCCGGGCTGTAAAAGTTCAAAGCTTGTACGGCTACTTCAGGCGCAGTGTTTATAATTCCTTCGAGAAATTTGGTTAAATTTAGAGGAAAAACAATGTAATACTCCTTTATTGCTAAATAAAACAATTAATAAAAAAATATTGAAATTATTTCGTTTTGACTTGCACCTTACGCTCCCTTATTTCTTTAAAAACAATGACGAATCACAACTTTTCTCCGTTTTTCAAATTCGTAAATTCAAATTTGCAACAACGACACACCATAATAACGGGGGAACCTGCCAGCAATAAACTGCTTAAAAACTTTTTCTTTAATAAAACAATATTTTTATGTTCTAGGTCTACTCTAAAATACATGACACTTTTGATTTTGTGAATTACCTGACTATGCAACATAGCAATGACCACCAGGGGTCTAACGCGACGTGAGGCCTGTGCTCTGCAGTTATGCCAGCCGGATTGAAACATCGCCGTTGGTAACTTGGACGCCTGTACAGGAAAACACATCATGTAAAATAACTCTGTTACATATACGGCACTGTAAATTGATGTAAAGTTTTTAAGATCATAAAAATTGTTGGAATATTTTTTTTCTCAATCGAGGGAATTGTGAAATATTGCAATGTAAAGAGCAAAACTTGAACTGTCTCAAAATGACTTCTTTCATATATCGCGACGTGGTTTGATGAAACTACATCCACAAACCGCGTTCGGTATGTAGAAGCTCTAAAAACTTAACTATACTCGCCTCGACAGTAACGTCTCCGGCGTTCCACATGAGGCATCCAGTGCCAACCACCATTGACGCGAACAGGATTAGGTTCGCCAATATGCTCGTTACCGTTCGCTCGGACATCTAAAATATCATTGTCCTCGTTGTTTCTGATTTTCAAATCAAAATCTGAGTGTCTTACAGAATGTAACACACAATGCGATTACAGTGCATACCACGGCTATGCCACACGGAGGGAAAGTACCTTTAATACCGCAGATAGAAAATTTTGCTGATAGAAGACTGCATTTTGATTTTAAAAACAATTCCGTAAAGTCTGAACCGGAAATCGAACCAGCTAAATGTGAAAAATAAAACACCTGTAATTTTAGTACACTAATCGAAAGCCTCAATCGTAAGGATTGTTTTCTTCTAAATAACACAGCATCTTAAATAAAAGGAAGACTATGAAATTTAACATTTAATGTGAAATATGTTCTGGAAAATTAATATAGTGTTTTCTCTGACTTTACAACAACTTTAATAGCAGTAGAGCTCCTTGTGAAAGAGTTCGTCCAGGGAAGTACTGCCACCTTACCTATTTCTGCCGCCAAGCAGTAATGTCAGCATTACTGTGTTCCGGTTTTGAAGGATACGGGTGCTGGTGAAATTACAGGCACATGCGACTTGCCAACTTATGTGTCAGGATAACGGGCGCAGTGGCAGTGCCCCTCAGATCTTTACGATTTAAAGCTCTGAGTGGCACTGCAACTATTATAGACAGATGTGTAACTTACCATCAGGCGCACGACTCTTTCGTCCCGTCACTTGATATTATATAAAAAAAAAAACTATTTTCCAAGTATTACTAATGAGCACAAACTTGAGAAATAGATATTATACAAAGGGCGCACTATAAGTTTCCGAAACTGGCCATTTACATAAACAATATTTAAAAAGTCATTACAACATTTGAAAGTGGAACTCTTTGGCTGTAGAATACAGTTTGTTTCATCTGACTGGCACTTGTTTTTACATTGTGGCGTCATTTTAGAAATTGGTTGTCTACATTACCAAGGATTTAACTCGTGAAAATTTTTGTAGTATGATTTTCTATGACTTTAAATGTAACTAACCAGCTCAGCGGAGCTTCGCTCGGCTTCAAACTGCTTTTGGCGATGAATCACCATGCAAAACGACTATTTATAGCTGGTTTGCAGAATTCAAACACGGTCGTGTGAAATCTCAGTGACGAATTTCATGATGGTCACCCGTCCACTGCTGTGAACAACAAAAACATCGATGCTGTGCGCCGTATGATCAAAACAGACAGGTATGTGACATACCATGAGGTTCTTTAAGCATAGGCATGAGTCAAATACAATCAATACTACACAAACATTTGAGTGTGAAAATGGATCCCACATAATTTGACTGAGGCTCACAAAACGGATCGCGTCACTTGGTGCAATGCCATGCTGACCAGGTTCAACGAAGGGGCGTCAAATTTGGTGTGGGACATAGTATCAGGTGACGAAACATGGATTTATAGTTACGATCCCAAAACAAAGCAGGAATCGAGGGGTCTTTCGAGGTGAGCCGAAACATTTCGAGCCGGATCATTGCTTCTTTTTTTTAATAAAATTGGAGACGTGGCTACTGTTGCTTTGGAGAATCGTTGTACCGTAAATAGTGATTGGTACACGGCCATTTGTTTGCCGGAAGTTATTGACAAACTCCGTAAAAATAACCGTAAACGCCGTATCATCTTGCACCACGATAATGCCAGTTCTTACACGGCCAGACAGACAAATGAACTTTTGAAGGTGAACAATGTTGACTTTATGAGCGATCCCGCGCACAGTCCCGACCGGCACCTTGTGACTTTTATTTATTTCCAAAAATTAAGAACCAGTTACGCGGTCAACGACTTTCATCACCTGAAGAGGCTGTCGAAGAGTATGAAAAATATGTTTCAGAGATTGTCACGGAGGAGTGGCATAAATGTTTTCAAAATTGGTTCATTCGTATGAAAAAGTGCATTAACGCTAACGGAGAATATTTTGAGAAACAGTAAATTCATTTCTGACCATTTATAGTATTTTTTTCTTATTCATTCCGGAAAGTTATAGTGCGCGCCACGTAAGTGCATGATAAAATAATAATCAGACAGTATGTAATTTTCAGTACCTAGTTGTAAGTATATTTGTGTGTTCACAGTCACAATGCGGCTGGCTAATTACAACAAAATAATTTAAAAATGTTACATGACCATGAAAGACCGTGAAGGTCTTCCCTTTATTTAAGATCCTATGTTATTTAGAAGAAACAATTCTTGTGATTGAGACTTTCGATCGATGTAGTGAAATTACAGGTTTTTTTTCACATTTGGCTGGTTCGATTCCCGGTTCAGATAGGCGATTATTTAAACACTTTTTAATTTAGTTCAAATTGTTTTTAAAATCAAAATTAAGTCTTATTTCAGCAAAATTTTCTATTTACTTATAAATTTACTATTTACCTTAAAGTATTTAAGGTACTTTCCCTCCGCGCGCCGTTGAACGCCCAGTATATTAGTATCTATTCTATCTATTATGCAAGAACACATGGAAAAATAACAATTTTGCCCGAAAGAAAAATAATATTAACGACTATTGCGTCGTATGTATGAGCGATGGAGACAGTGGTGCCGGCGGCGGCTTGCGCAACTGGATCAAAATGCCTTTTTGCATTATCCAGTTCTGGACAGCAGTGGCACGGGCGATGGTACACGAGTATGGCGTTCCTGTCAAGCGGTGAATAGGCGTTCGAATAGTCACTTAAGACTTAAGTTTAAGTTTAACTTACTTTTTTTCTTAGACTTAAGTTTAACACCTATATTTAGAAGAATCAAATTTAGAGATGTCGTCGGAGGAAATAATTTCAGCAGTTTTAGGAAGACCATCAATATATAAACAACACACATATCGACCATAAAAATAAAAGGATTAATAATCAATATAAGGAGAAGAATATTCGTTCTTCTATTCGTTCATAATTAGAGTGTGATTCTAATTCTGACTTGACATTTGCAATAATATAGTCAAACATTTCCACGGTCATTCTAGCACTTATCCGGATTTTGTCTTTGGTCTTAGTAATTTCGGCGAAACTCACCTTTTTGCTTTCTTTGTTTGTAGTACGGATTCACGTCTTCTTGCGTCCATAAATAAAATTATTAAGTACTATAAAAAATCACGTCACAGTATCAAAATCGCGCCCACACTCTTGTTACGTCACTTTACCTATGCAAACTATGTGATCGTTGGCGTCGCGAACAGGCCATTCCTATCGCGCCGCCCGCCGTCCGCATCGCTGTCTCCATCGCGTCGCTGCTAGCTGACGTTCAGTTTGCGGCCTACACTTTACTTAAAAGTCCTTAGTGGAAATTTCAGCACGCAAATTGACTGGGCTGGACTAACTTACCACAAGCTGTACAACGAGGAGAATGATAACTGATACATTAAGTAAAATTTGTCCGCTGTATACAAAATAGAACGCATTTTGGCAGAGCCTGGTACATCTGGAACGATTGCAATTTGTGAATTAAATGAATGATTACTGATTTCAAACAGTGTAATAATGGAAGGAACCGTATTTACAGTTATATTAACAATGATTGATACCGTGACCTCACTGAAAATCAGTACTGGGAACGCGTTGCGTCTTGTAGCACATACCGAATCAGTTACCCTTTTGTTACCGCGGCTGGCACCACTCTATGTATTTTTACACGTAGTGTTCTTGTTTTGTGAATAGTCATTTGTGGTAAAGAAATAAATGTATTTTCGTTCTTTCTAGAAATCTGTTCGATGTACGTGTAGTTGTCTCTCTAAATGTCTATTCTCTGATGCATCTAAGGTTCTCCGGTTTTTTTTACTCTGATCATCTATATCTTCAGTGACCAAGACCATGCGCTTAATAATTATTGAACTGTAGTTTAAGTGCTGAGTAATTTTGATTTTGACTTGCTTGTCATTAGAACTGTTTCTTTTGGCAATCAAAGATATGCAATGTCTCTAGCTGGCGGCAAAAACTTCCAAGGACAAGTCATACGTCAGTGGCAGTGGGTATTTATTACCTTAAAGTATCAGCATGCCATTGTATTCCCAATTTAAAAGCCTCTTCATATTTCCTCTCCTTCTCGTCCTGACTTTCATCTCCATGGAATATTTCTGACAAACTGTAAAAGTAACTTGTCAAGTTCTTGAATTGATGGCTTAGCAAAATTGTCACTGGAATTATTACCCAGAAAACGCAAATCAATCTGAAAGATTAAGGAGTAGCTTACCATTACCTTATTTAGTGATTGGTCACCTCGTACAGTGCAAACCTACAAATCTTTATAGAAGGTTTCAAAGATCAAACATACTTCTTGTTCTTTTTCTTCTAATTCTTTTGCTTTATTTATATAGGATCTTACAAGTACACTGTCATCTATTTCGGGTAAATACTGTTGAGGTCTTTTTAATATCATTGGCAAGCATTAACAATTTTCCAAATACTTATTCCGTGCTCATAGGCAATCAAATATTTAGGGATATCTTTTCGAAGATTGTTTTAAATAGCTGTGTTAATCAATTTTCCTTAAATTTATCTTTCACTTTATTTTTATTTATTACAAGTTTGATCTTAACACATCTCACAAAATCTCGAAAAAACATATAAGGTTAATAGTTTATTCGAAAATAAACTGAAACAAACAAACCTGATAACGAAATACCACCAAATAATATAGATGACAATCCTAACGAGACCTGCACCGAAGCTCCGATCTTCGACGTCCGGCCACGCAGTTATTACTGTCGTGAATGTGCCGTCTGCAACACGGTCAAGAATTTTGTAATGCTATAGTAGCGCCATACTTAGTACGAAAGAGAAATACTCGTTTTTGGATTTGAGTTTGAATTTGAGTGGATTGGATTATGATATTTTAAGGTTAAGATTTAAATATAAGTGATAGAGTACATGGCGAAGATTTTCAGAAGAGGCAGTCTATACTTCGTCATAAAATTTTTAGAAATTTAAATATTAAAGGAAACATACCATGCAATAGAGCATCGACTCCGAAACTCAGCAATGTGGAGCATGCTATAATGACAAATATCATAGTGTAAATCTTTGATCGCCTGATCATCCGTTCTTCCACGTCGTGGTCGTTGAACGATTTCTTCAGATTGATTGTCAGATGTAGTAATACTTCACTAAAGGAATAAATATTTGCAGTGAAAGAATTGTATATTAAATAATCTAATTTGACAATGACGCCATTAAACGCTTATAATGGGAAGCGTAGATCCACATAAGATCTTTGATTCTCATACACGACTCAGGTTTCTTATAAGCACTTCGGTGCTCGCACACATTAGACTTTTACTAGGTACACCGTTTATTGGGCGCAAATACGATCAATTGTCAATATTAGACACTTTTTTACCAATTTTGTGACCGGTTCTGGCGCGAGTCAGGCGTCCTGTTTTACTTTCAAATTATTTCCTGTCTGAATTCCTCTGTCCTACGCGTTGCCGTTGACAGAAATCTAATCTGGCCGGCAAGAATCGGCTGTTTTCGGTAGGACCGATTCTTTAGCGAGACGTGTGCGTTTCATTATAATATTTGTCGACGTCAACCGAACGACTAACATCTGCGAGCACCGGTAGTGTACGTACATCGACACAGTTACTGAAAGTTTCGTCCTCGATTTCTAAAACTCTCTTTGTAATATCTGACTACACATTTTTATTCGGTGACAATACAACAGGAGTGTCGTTAAAGTAAAAAGTACACATTAGGACGTTAGTATCAATCGCTCCAGAAACTTTTTTAGAATTAGTTTTGGCGTACTAGACATGCGCTTAGATACTTACCTTATTTTATCCTTATTAAACTTCATAAAGAAACTGTACAAATGCAGAATTGGGTGAGAGCATGCAAAAACGAACAAGTCACCACTTTGTTTATAAGTTAAATTCTTCTGAGTGAATAGCGCAAGCCACTCTGAGCCGATAAACAGAATTATTATGAAATCTGTTATTAAAAATAAATTGTCATGAATTTTGTAAAATGACTTTGGAAGTTTCAAGTCTTCTGACCAATAATTCGATGCACCTAGGAGATATACTTTTTGTGCGATATAGAAAAAGAATTCTTTTGTTTTATTTTTCTCCATTTTTTTTTACAAAATTCTATTATGTAAGACAAGCGAAGGACTGAAGGGTTGAGGGATTTTGATAAAGAAGTATTATTGATTGACGAAATCTGTAATATATTATGCGATAAATACTATAATAACTCTGTAATTTGTTCGTAATTAATGTAAATAAGTTATTTGGTGAATCTGTTATTGATCCGTGGCATTATGTGTATGTAATTAGACTGTGATCTTACGTCATTGCATATAGAGGACTTAGCAAATGGATATAGGAATCAGTTTTCGAGGCACCACCGGGGGGAGACCTGGGAGGAAAGACCAAGTTAAACTAGAACTAGCAACTGTAGTTTGGTTAGGTCAACCAAAATTGTTCGTTTGGACCTTAATTAAATTATTGATTTCTAACCTCAAAGCAAGTAACGGAAAGTTTATAAACATTTATGTTTCTGTTCGTTTCCTAAAACGGACACGAAAAGTATTAACAGTAGAGCTCCTCGTAAATGATCTCGTCTAGAGAATTACTGCTACCTTACTTATTTCTGTCGCCAAGCAGTAATGTGAGCATTACTGCGTTCCAGTTTTGAAAGGTAAGAGCGCTGGTGAAATTACAGGCACATGGGACTTGTCAACTTATGTCTCAGGGTGACGGGCGCAGTGGCAGTGCCCCTAAAGGACTTTGCGATTAAAAGCTCTAAGAAGCACTGCAACTGTTATGGACAGGCGTGTTGCTCACCACCAGGAGCACGACTTGTTCGTTCTGTCACTTGCTATTATAAAAAAAACCAGTAGAGACTTCAAACTTGGCACAGTACGCAATCACCACGTTGAACCAAATAATGTGTCTTATTAATTTATAGATTGATTTTAGTTGCTTTAACGACGCAGCAAAACATTGCCAGTGTGCCTGACCCTAGGTAGTTTACAAATTTGCAATCTTCTAAAACTTGTGAAGTTCCCAATTCTCATTAGGGCAGGCCGTATTATATATGTACGGCCTGTGTGAGCCATGGGTCGCGTCGCGTTCCTGTAAAAACAAGATTTCAATAAATAAACGCAGGATATGGCTGTTGACAAGAGTTACAGCGCTATGTTCCAAGTACTTTTACTGAACACAATGTGACTCTGTAACAAGTGAAAAACCATTATATTATGATATGTATAATTAAGTTTGATCTTTCCAAAAACGAAAACTCTACAAAATAAATACGAACAACTTTAGTTTTACCATTTCAAAATATTCCGTCCAATAGTTTTATCGACTGGAGTGAAATGTCGCGTCTTTATTAAAAATTTTTTTTTGGTGCATAATAAGATAATAAGCAAGCATTGGGGTTAATCCCAAGAAATGCTGTTGTTGTGCATTTTATCATATGGTTTGAAATAAAAAATATTGGGGCAAGAACAATGATTTAAGTATAATATCATTCAGCGGGACGGCATACTTGTTATGTTTTAATAATTTTAGTATTTCATGTAATTTTCAAGGCGGTTTCCCACGGTCCATGGTTGCACAGGCCGCGTCGCGCCGCGCGAAGGGGGCGGCCGTGGCGGCCTGTTCGGATGCGCCGCGTATCGGTATCTTCAAATGCGTGGCGCGAGTGATACTTTTAAAGCTCATTCGGTATTTGACAGCGTTCTAATGTTTCAAATTATTAACCTATACGTGCCTATCAATGAATACGTAAAACAAACTACGTATGTTCAGTTCAATAAAATCTTAAAAATTTATCGCGATCTGCTGTTGCTCAATGCTTCCCACGGCCTGTGATTTCAAAGCCCGCTCCGCGCCGCGATTTGAACGGGCGAGCTTGCGCCACGAGCGAGCCGGGGCGGCCTCAGGCTGACGCGCGTGGCACACCTTTGAGAATCTCATCCTTTTTCAAGTGGGTTAAAAAAGAAAAAGTATTCCCGAAATAACACTACGACTGTGTAACAATATGAAATAGATTGCTATAATGAAGCATTTTGTAGTTCCATCAAAATCCGTTAGATGACGTTGACAATTCTTGAGTAAATACTGGATCACTGTATTACGATTTTTTCTCCGAATTATCACCGTTTTGCGTTGCCAGCCGTAGGACGAGATCTTAAGTGTTGTGTGGCTACGCTTGTGCTGGCATTCACTATACGTTGTAACCGTTAATGCAATATATTACGCGTGTTTAAGTCAAGAGCATTAAAATTTACTTGCGGTTATCCACCGTAGCAGCCTGTAGTGGTCATAGCGGCTCGGAAATAGTCGCTATTTGGCATCGACCAGTTTCCTGCCACCGAGAGCAGTGTTCTCTCAGGTGAAATGCCTCTGTAGGACTTAAATTATTAAATAAAACGTAGCAATTAGGAGTGGAACTATTTTTGTTGTAACTTTTATTGTATTTAGACAGTCACTATCTTCCAATTATCTGAAAAACAAAAACTCTCATTTCCAATGCGTAACTGTCGCGACAATCTAAGAAGTCGATAAATTTCTTTTGTATCATTAAGGCGAGTCACTAGAGGAGAAGCGGGAGAACCTGTTTGGTAGATAAAACGGTTTATGTATTTACTATAATTTTTTTTACAATATCAAGTGACGGGACGAACAAGTCGCCTTATGGCAAGCTACACGCCTGTCCATAACAGTTGCAGTGCCACTCAGAGCTTTAAATCGCAAAGATAGGCACTGCCACTGCGCCTCTCACCCTTTCACCAGCACCTTACCCTTCAAAACCGGAACGCAGTAATGCTAACATTACTTCTTTGGCGGTAGAAATAGTTAAGGCGGCAGCATTTCTTTGGACGAACTCTTTTACAAGAAGCTCTACTGCTACTAAAAACGGTTTATTATTTAAAAGCTTCTAAATAATGGTCTCACGATAAATATACCATACACCTAAGTATATTGTCTAAAGAATGTGCTAATAGGATGTATTTGATCCGATCATAAAATCCAGAATACGGGCTAAAATACAAGTCTAATACAAATTATTTAAGAACAATTTCTCTACTTTGTACATTATTTTTATACGCAGATAAGTATTTCTCTTTAATTTCTACAAACAACTTGGTAAAATTTCAACTGAAGCCCTATTAGTTATTAAATTTACATTTATTCTAAAAATTGCAATTTACCCAACGGTTTAACGACACGCCGCGACGCCCGTTGCTCCATCAGTCTCCATCACGCACTTGTCGACGTCGGATGTGTGTCATCTGTGTCAAATTTTCTGCGCTTGTTCATATTAATTTACAGCGCGCGGATTGCGATACGCGAGACCCCACACCTCACCTCTTAAAATTCAGTATGACTCTGTAATATTTTTGACAGAGCAAATTTAATGGCTCTTATTAACATATTATTGCTGGAGACACAGCAAAACAGACGCTATTTCTTTTCTATACGTGATAATTTAAATTTTTATTCAAGGGAGGACGTTGGAATGTTGCATTGTATTTGAAAAAGTACAAAGTTCTTGTTGCGACCCTACACTAAGTAAGTTAATTGTATTATTTATTTTGTCATTGAAAAGAGCAGCGCCTAGAGTTTCTTGACTCTTTTTCTAAAGGAAATCCGCTTGATAAGTGATCAATAGTATGAAGAATTTTTTATATAGGCTTCGGCATGAAATAATAACAATTAGTATTTTTATTACATGTTACTTACTCGGTAGCCGAACGGTTACCGTACTGGTCTGAAATGCAGGTCCAGGGTTCGATTTCCAGGACGGGAGAAATACTGGTATGATGTACATTTATTTATCTCGTGAGTTTGGGTGTAATTTGTGGTTGTCTATGGGTGTGTCTATGGCACTCGCGACACAGGGTTTCCCTAGTGCGGGGTTATAAGCAAGCGCGGTATTATTATTAAAGTTAAGGAATACTCCGTAGCATGCCGCCGTGATAAAAATACTATATCCACATTTAGCCATCAAATTCGAGTGATAAAAACGCCATTTTAAAATTTTATCAATATAGCTAACAAGGCGAGCACTACATTTTTGTCGCGAGCGCCTCGACCAAGGACTGCGAAAGAATATCGTAGTACCAAACATAGCCGCAAGCTGCAAGGTCACAGGAAAAAGGTGAGGAGAACATGTTTAACTCAGTTCATAATATAATTCAGTAAATAATAAATAATTAATATAATATGAAATATGTAAAAACAGAAATTACACAAACTCGGTATTTTTGTTTCGTCGTTTTCGCGGCGACGATTAAACGACAAAGCTGGCTATATATGCAATTTCATATCGTTATCCTTATTATTCAAAATGTTTAACAATAGCTCATTTCCAAATAAACAAAAGAACGAACGACTCTAGTGCGGTATCTTACCGATTCAGTATTCGCAATAAAAAAAAAATTAATAATGACAAAGAGGTTTATCAACTGAAATTAATATGTCACGGGGAGGTTTATCACACATTGCTTGTGTTAAACTGCCATGCTACAGCCACTGAAAAAATAAACACACAATACTTATTTTATATAGTGTTTAATTACACTATAATGTTGTGTCATTGAATAATACAAAAAGAAGTTTTATAAGTAAGAAAACATTGTACATTAATAAGTTGCTCATCATGTAGAGTTTTACCTTATTTCACAAAAGCCTAATCAGTAAAA